AGGAGGCTCAGGGGAGACCTTATTGCTCCCTCCAGCTCCCTGACAGGAGGTTGTGACGGAATGGGAGTTGGCTTCTGTTCCCAGGTAACAGTGATAGGATGAGAGGTGATGGCTTTAAGTTGCACCAGGGGAGGTTCAGGTTGGATATCAGGAAAAACTTCTCCAGAAGAGTGTTAGCACTGGCACAGGCTGCCCAGGGAGGTGAGGGCATCACAGTCCCTGGAGGTGTTCAAGAGCTGTGGAGATATGGTACTAACAAACACAGGTTAGTGGGCAGTTCTGGCAGCAAGTGGACAGTGGGACTAAGTGATCTAAAAGGTCTTTTCCAACCTTAACGATTTTATGATTGAATCCATTTTAACTGTTTCTGCAGGTAGTATGTTCACCATGGTTGGCAATCACAAGGAAAAGGCATCATCAGCACTAACTAATATTGAATTTAGAAGGAGTCAACAGAATAAACTCAAATGGCTAATTTTGCAAAGCTTGCCCTCAAAGCCTCTAAAGGGCTGACAAAGACAAATGCCCCAATGTTGTGCAATCACATAAACGACACAGTTGTCATAGGAGGGATGTTGTCTGCACATCCTTTTGTGGCCAGGGTTTGGCACTGTGGTATATGTCTCAGGAATATGCTTCAGCAGGTGCCTATGAATGAAATATCATAGAATCATAGAAGAGCCTGAGTTAGAAGGGATTCACAGACATAGAATCATAATATCATTAGATTGAAAAAAACCCTCTAAGATCATCTAGTCCAACCATCAACCCACCCCCACAATGCCCTCTAACCCATGTCCTTCAGTGCCACATCTCCACAGTTCTTGAACACCTCCAGAGACGATCGAGTCCAACTGCTGGCTCCACAGAGGACAAGCCAAAATTCAAACCATATACTGTAAGAAAACAAGGGGCTTCATTTCTTTGACAGCAAAGGGCAACAGATGGAAGCCTTCACCCATGTTTCTCAGCCAGGTGGCATTTTTCATTCCAAGGTATAGATGCTCTATCAGCTGTTATGGCTTTGGTGATGCTCCTTCTTCAGTGCACTGTCCTCTTCACAAATCCACAGACTTTACTGTCACTTACTTCTCCTCCCCAGCAATGTGCCCACTGTGTCCTCTTTCTGGCTTTCTCTAGGTGTTCCCATCAGCCACAGCCCATAGGCTTGGTTTGCATAGCATGGTGCTACTCCTTGCACTGCTTTGTGTCCACAGGATTGTACTGGGAGAGGAGGGCAAGGGGGAAAGAGCTTCTGAGGTTATGAAAACCAGCTTGAAACTCAAAGGATGCAAACCAAAGACAAATCACACCACAAAGCCTGACACTCTCACTGCACTCAAGCCTTCCAATGACCCGAGGAGCTCCAAGTCAGGATTTTCTGAGCACCCGAGGCTGACAATAGACTTCAGTATGGTTTTGAAACCCCCTAGTTCTGGCCTCACAAGCCCTGGCAGCACCCCAGCAGCACTCATTTCAGAGTGCCTGCCAGCTCTCCTCCCCATGCCATGGAGCATGTGAGCTCCCGCCAGCACTGAAATACCAATTTTAGTGCAAAAACTGGAAAGCAGGAGAGAAATAATTGGGAGGGAAAAGAGGAAGGGCAATGCTTTTAAAGAAACTGGAAAAGGGCTTTCCGCTCTCTCTCTGCACTCTTAGCTCGATGCTCAGTGAAGGAGGGCCCACCTGAACTGACAGCACAGCTCTGCAGCCACCACCTGCTGTGCATATTGCTGGATGGGGTCTGCTGAGGAATGGGGGGAGGAAGCACGCAGTACTAAGCACACATGAGCACTGAGAGGGGAGCGAGAGGCGTGGACTGCCAGGACCCATGGCAGCATGATGTCTCACTCATCTCAGGACTCATCTTGCCTCAGCACAGACAGATGTTTTCCTGTCTGCAAGCACATCCAGGGATGCTCCATCAAAAAATCATCCTTCACCCCAATGCTCCCACCCAGTGGCTTTTTTAAAGCCACTGCTTGAATGTCTGGATACCGAATTTTCATTTCCAGCCTAGTTCATTTGCTGTTTCCTTCCCACAGACACTTTTTTTTCTTGTACAAAACCACATTCCACTAGCTCAAACAGCTCTCCTCCATCTGTGGGGTAAATACGGAGCTGTGCAGGCCAGCAGGGATCACAGTGCTAAGACTTCCCAGGATTGAGTCCATGTTGAACAGCAGTGTTTGTACCCTTGGGTTGGACTTACTGAAAACAGACACCAGCAGTGACTCCTCTCACAGAAAAAGAGCACACAGTGATTTAAGCATTGTGATCTGCAGAGGGCTGAGAGGTGGGGGAGCAAAGCATCTCCCTCCCCAAAGTGCCAGGGAGGAAGCCTCAGAAATACAGCACAGCAGCAAGGGACCATATGGACGGAGCAGGGAGCAGATGAGCCCCAGCACACTGCCATGCCAGCAGAGCTCCTGCTTGGCTCTGAGACCCCGGCACAGAAACTCATCCCTGTCTCCAAAGAGAAAGGCTACACCAGGGCAGGAGGTACAGACCCCAGCACAGCAGCATGCCAGGGAAGGAGCATTTGAGGTGAGCAAGGTTAATCCCCCATGAGCTGCTGCGACAGGGAAGACTAGCGCTAAATCCTCCAGAAAGCAAGACCAGACTGCAGCACGTGGAAGTCTGGTCCATAAAAACACAGCTGCAGCAGCTTCTCCAGCTAGCTGGGCAGCAGAAACCCATGCAGCACATTAATCAGGGCTGTGTTCTTATTTATTATTGTTATTACTACTGCAGTCATACCCCAAGGCACCCAAACAGATCCCTGCGACAGCGAGACATGGTCTCTGCTCTGATGAGTTGACAAATCCAGCTCAAAACAAGTCTCAGCAAGGCAGCATGGCAAACAGCAAGGAGGGGGACCAGCACCACCGAGAAAATTGCTCACTTAGCTGGTCTGAACCACGCACGCCTTGACTGCTTCCAGCACATTAAAACGCTCCTGCTTTATAAACTCCTGGCTGTCGCAGCTTTTGTTTTTAACTTGTTTTAACCATTTCTAACTCATTTCAAAGTTCTGTTCTGTCAAACAACAGAGGTCACTGAAGAAACAAGCAGGGAGCCTGGAGGAGAGAACAGAGCCATAAAAAGTGAATGAGGCATGGTGGGCTAAAGATTTTTTTGCCTCACCTGCCAGATCCCGGAAGCCTCATGTTCTCAGGGTTATATATGGTCGAGCTAATGGCTTTGCACCAGCTGCTGACACTGACCAGCAGTGTGTCACCTTCTGAAAGTGGATTAGCTTAAGCTGCCGGTACGCTGTCACATCACTAAGCCAATCCCTGATCAAGTATCCACTATCCCTTATTTCTTCCAAGCCTGTCAGATGATGATAGCATCTCTAAAAGTCCAGAATCTGCAGAGGCCCCCCATGAGGTCCCCAAATCTCCCCGTTTCCATCAGACCCAGCAATGTTCACCGTGCTTGCAGGACTGCGTACTCTGCATTGCACAAAAAATGCTGGTGAGGCTCATCTACCTTTCTCAGTCTGCAGTACTGCTTAGAGGATGTCTCCTTCCCCCAGTGCCAAGAAGCAAAGAATTTTTTAGAAGGTTGTTGGGATGTTCCTGAGTCACTTCTAATCAGATCTATAGCAATTAAAGCATCAACAATTAAGGCACAGTGACATTTCTGGCTGACCAACAACAGTTTTCCTGAGGAATCAAAGTGTCATTTTTCATTATCATCTTAAACTGTAGAAGAATTTAAAAAATAAGAATTTCCACTTTACTTGAAAGTGACATTTTCCATCGCAATTCAGAAATGGATTATTTTTACTTTTTTTAATTCCAAATGTCTTTCTCTCCCTCTTCCTCGCTAATGTTTTGTTACTGAACGCAACAGAACAGGTGCATATGACTGAGTTTTCCCCTCCAACACATTTTCTTTTTTCGTTCCGAATTCTCTGAAGTTAAGAGCGGCAGAGGGAAAAAAAATGAAACACCAGTCAGTCTTTTCCAACTTCCTACTAGATGTCCTTAACTTTAGAAAATTGCTTAAATGAGAGATTTAATATACTGCTCTGTTTTTCTTTCTCCTTTCCATTATCAAGTAGTCTTCCTGCACACACTCTGAAAAGAGTAGAAAAAGGGGAAAAAAATTACAGACAACTTTTGCCTTATTACACTCAATACAAAAGAGGGAAAAGTGAAGATGGTACAAAGAAGAACAGCCAAAACTGAAAATCAAAAGCTGATTTGGCAATTTTCTTGAGTACAATGGAGCCTATACCCAAGTTTATCCCTTCTTCCATGTGTCCACAGAACAGGAACCCAATTCCTACACTTGCTGTTCAACTGCATGAAGAGAGCTGGACTTTAAAAGCAGGAGACAAAGCAAGGCCAGTGCACGGTGACTGGAAAGCTTTTGTTATCTTCAGAGGCTACTGCAATGGTCACATAAATATCCACATAGTTATGCCACTAATTCATCTCATATTCAAGAGCCTGCCACAGCAGAGGAGAAACAGTAAAACTGAATCACATCAACAGGCAAGAGACGAAACATGTCGAGACCCATCCTGCCAAATCCATCTCTACCCACATCCCCAGCTCATCCCCATGTTTGTAGAGAAGTCCCGTTGTGCTGGTGCAAAAGAAAAACAACATTGAAAACGGTGTTCAAGCTGCAGCTTCTTGGATTGACGTGTTCAGGCAGACACGAAACAAGCAAAACTCCTAGAAAAATATCAGTTTAGGGAAAGGAGACTTGCTTACAATAAAAACAAAAGAACTGCTGTCCCCCTGCTCTCCCCTAGCCCTCCACCATTCAGGAGGATAGCTTGCCAGAGGGCACAAGGTTCTTTCACATTCTTATTGATTGATTTGACCCCACAAACTCATGAACCAAGAGTTTGTCAAACACAGTTTGCGTTTGAGGTCAATATCCCTGCATATGACTTCTGTGCATCCTTCCTGAAAAAAAAACAAACCAATGAAACAAAACAAAACACAAAACAAACAAACAAAAAGACCCACACTCACCATCACCTCCTGGTTGCTTGTATGGGTTGTACTTTGGCTTGGGGGCAACAACGGGTGCAAACTTCTTTGGCGTCTGTTGGGTGGACACTGAGATGCTGGGAGTCCCAAAGGCATGCGTGGTCTCCATCCTTGCTGTAACATGACCAACAGGCTCGTTGGTACTCTTGGGCGGCAGCCAGGACGGGTGAGACATGGTTCAAATCTGAGAGGAAAAGAAGAATGGCACATACATTAAGAATTCAGGCTGGGGGACTAGCAGTTGTAAACCCTTAGATGAGTTATTAAATTACAACCACAAGACCATTTCATGAGAATTCAGATACAAACTTGTCTTTCTTTGCCCGGCTGGTTGAAATTACCGATCGGTTTGTTTTGGTGTCTGCTATAGTGTTGTTATTTTCCTCTTCAAACTGAAGTTGAGGCAGACCAATGCACCAGAGAAGCCCATCACTCCTATCGCCTGTTCAACAAGACAGTCATAGATTTGACTTCCTCCTGCTAGGATTTGGTGAGTACATTAACGTACAGCAGCGCGGTTGCTCTGGGAACAAGTGCCATTACAGGTGGGCAGACACACACTTCCAAAATATAACCTTTAGCATTTTTCAACATGACATTTATGGCCCCAAATTCCACCGCCTTTCACTTAAACTTTTAAGAAAAAGGATTTCAAAAGCAGCTAATCCTTCTTGATGCCTCCATTTCTGAATGCCCAGATTAAGGTATTTTAAAAGCACGTCAATTTTGAAAAAATGCCAGAATTCCACAACCGCTGACAACCAGGCTCCTTTTAGACATCTCCACTTGTGTAACAGAAAACAAAGGCAGCCCAAACCATTACTTATTTATGAAGATCTTGGCTTCAGTCTCTTAACAGCCTACATCACTTTTGAGAACTGGACTCAGACGCTGCTGAAAATATTTCCCATAAAGAAAATCTGTTCATAATGGGCTGAACCGCAGCAAACAAGCGCTCTCCACCACACACAAGCCATAGCTGTTGGGTAGCAGCAATGGTCCTACAGCAGCATCACGTTACCTCCCTAAGCTGGTTTTGAGCTGCTGTAAGGAAGTGAAGACCCTGCATGGACAAAAGCTACTGCTAATTTTGGAGCCCTCAAGTACCTGTCCATGCTCTGCTTTGTTGTCAGCACACCTCAGGGTTCTGAAAACCAGAGGCAGCTGGGACTCGATCTGGAAAGATTTTTTTACATCAGAAAGCTTGGAAAAGGATTGGTGCAAGAGATAGCACTGGGCCAGGGCAGACACTGCTGTTGCATAAAGGCAGTTCCGGCTGGGCAGTTCCAGTGGGGCAAAGCAAAGGCACCACTGGACTTACAAAGAGAATCTCTAACTGCTGCCTGAGCAGAGGTCCTGGGAGCCTCTGCTGAGTGGCAGCACTGGGATTTACCAATGGGTGCAGACAGTTCTCTGAGGTCAGGTTGGGAAAACAAACGAGGACAGATGAAGGGCGGCCTCTGGCTGGTGGACACCCCCTCAGAGTGAAATCGTTACCAAGCCTCACAGCTCTACAGCTCTCAAACTATTCTGACACAGCTCTGTGGTCACGCACACAGCCATCTATTTGAATGTTTCAAGAGAAGGCATTTCCAAAACTGAAAAGTGTAGCCACATATAGACAGCTAGAAAGGTCAGTGCTTAAAACCTGCAAGCAAGTGCATGACTGATATCATCACCTTTGCCACCTACCATCAAACATGAAGACCAAATATCTTCTCGCTGATAATAAGCAGGAATGCATCTACAACAGCATGTCCCGCTAACCTGGGCATACTCATGGTGCCACAAAACCAACACTTCCATGCACACATGTTCTCAGAAAAAAAGCAACTATCCCCTACATTATACAGAATATTTAGGCAGGAGAAAGGCACATTTGACAACACAGTTAATTCTACCTAGAGGAAAAAAAAGTAGAGACCACGCTTTCTTTCCCCTTTCTCCTAGTCTGAGACCAAATGTTACTGGAAATGTCAGGACCAAGTCACTGGGACTTGGGTGAAGAGCTGGTTTGCCAGCTCATGCTGCCTGGCAAAGCATCTCAGTTCTATAAGCTTTATGGTGGAGCAAAATCAGGTGAGTCTTGTATCGAAGAAGCAGATAATGTTTTTGGATATAAGCCAGAGAAAGTCTGATGGACTCTGATATGTACAGCCTTGTCCTAGTGATCTGCTATTAGGCAGTAGTGCTGAGTTAGTGGGGGCAGAGGTGGGGAAGGAGCAAGGTCTCCACGTGGCAATGTGGAGATGTTACCTCCAGCTATCAGCAGTGCTTGTTAAAACTGATGTATACGGTGTGTGCCTCTTCCAGCCCAGTAAGCTTCCTCCAGGCAACAGCCCTCTTACTGGAGGATTCAATTGTACTTAAAGACTGCAAAGAAAAGCCAGTCCTTATGTCTGTCCCAAAACTAGGAGATGGGCAGTTTGTGGTCCTCTTCTACCTCCACTGCTCTTTGTGTGCCAGAGAAACTGCCTCAGCACTTCCCCACCATGCAGTGTGGCTGCTCAAGGTCCCAGGTTTTGCAATCCCTTCAGCTGAAGGATGAGCCCATTGCATTGGACATGTGATACCAGTGAAAGCAACCACTGGGGACAGCATGGAGGGGCTGGCTACAAATGAAGAGTGTGGCAGGAGCACCCTGCAGACAGACAAGCATCCAAGACCAAGGTGCAAGGACAGATCTTACCCTCCCAAACATGGCTGCCAGCTGACCTCACGCTGACAGAGCAGAGCATCATTCTGAAAGCAAGAAGTGAAAGGCAGGTCTGCCCCGCAGGGCTGTAGAGAAAACCAGCCATGAGAGGCAGGATGGACAGCACTCCCACTGCCTGGTACTTCTCGTTACCAACACCAGCCTCACCAGACACAGAAAATGCCATCAAGACACTAAAATTCACCTACCTGGCCACCTCTTCCTCTCACATCATTCAAAAATGTAATGCATAACAATAAATCTCAGGCAACTATCTAGGCTTAAGAGCAAAAGGCAGTGTGGGCGCTCAGCCTTAAGAGTTAAACAGGACACTCTGCTCTCTTACTATATTCAAAGATCGCTGTATCTTGCCCATTGCTACAAGCATCCTGGCAAGTTTTCAGCCCCAGGTTTGCTGTTCATATGAAAGATCATCCCACTGCACAAAGCTCCTTCAGAGCACAGGCGTTACCTCCACACTGATTCAAAGCAAAAAGAAACAGCGCAAACAAGATTATCATCACCCCTTCTGGCAGCTCCCTAGTTTGTCCTTAGCCACCTCCCAGGCAACACGCCTTGGTCCCCTTATGGTCTGCCATGAGGCAGGGATGGGCTGAGTGATGTGTAAACCAGGGCTATCTGCTCCAGCAGCCAGGCCACGCAGTGCTGGGACAGTTGATGACACTGTGGCATCTCACGAATGAGCTTAAAGAGCAGCTCTCTTATGGGCAGTTTGGGAATATAAGACCACACTGCAGTAACTCAGTTGCTAACTGTAGGCTGGCACGCAGCTTCATCTTGGCTACCCTCTAACACATTTGTTTCTGTGGCGGTGGTGTTTTCTAATTGTTTCCCGTTAGCCTTTTCTCTTCCTCTTTCTCCTCCTCTCATTTTCTGTCATGCATTTGCTGTCACTCGTTTTTGCTATATGTGCCTTGACAATGTTTTCAACAAGTTCCCTTTTCCTCATCTGTTCCAGCCCCAGCCTCAATTAAATTTAGCCTAACTACACAAGATCATAAAAAACGAAAATGAATAGATCTCTTTTTAACAGCTGAAGCTGAACTTCTGGGTTTGTTCTGATCTCTCCCCAACACTTTTCTTCTTTTAAGGGCATGTGACTTTGTGCCTAGAGTAAAAGGCCCCAAGTAATGCAATGCAGGGGACTGAATCCTTCTTTAAAAAAGCATGTAATGGAGAATCCATTGCTGCACTCAGTAAACTATATGGGCAAGCAATCAAGCACCAATCTTACGGATTCTTCTTAATGTCTGGCTTAAATTTAGCTAGCTTCACCTCCAAGCACTGGATTTTGTTACATTCCTACCTCCCTTACACATGCAGATCCTCACAGAACACATCCAGGTCTTTGGTGAAATCAAATCACAACATTTAAGTTAAGTATCAATTAAACTCACTGGTTAGAACAGACTTCTCTTGATTCACCCCTATGTATTTACTCTGAATTCTGAATACTCCGAATTTTTCAGCAACCTTTAGTGAGGTGATGGATGCTACCATTTGACCATTTTCTCAAGAATGGAAACTTATCATGGGAAGAGTAATAGGATGAATAACATAAAAGACAAGAACTACACCAACTTCAGCTGTGGCTGCCTGAGGTTCTGTTATCCTTCCTTCCTTGGAAGCATTAGTCATTGCCTACTTTTGGATGTAGAGTATAAGACCAAACTAACCATGATAAATAACATTAAGAGCAAAGAGTAGAATCACACTGCGTAAATAAGGAAAACCCATGTGCTCTGATTCTATCATTAGGATAATCTTAATGCCATTAAGTCCAGAAAAATCCCAACCATAAAGGAACACATGACAGCAGAGGAACTGGAGTCCCATGACGAAACTGCACCATCTAAAATCATCAGACTAGGAATTTCAATAGAGGATAACACCAGAAAGTAATAAAAGCCTGACAAGGTCTATTGTCTGCTTTTTTGTTTGTTTGTTTGCCTGTTTTGTTTTTAAATGTGTGCATAAGTACTTGGGTTATTTTGCTTTTAATCACAGGATGTCACTCACCTTTGAGAAGCAAAAGTAACACGAAAAGGCTCCAGAGTCAATTTAGCCTCATATCAGAAACAACAAAAGGGTAGAGTACCCATTTGTCTATCTAGAAGTTGTTAGTACATTCATCTCTGAGACAGGCTTTTCCACGATTAGACTGTACGCAAATAAATCTTCATTTCATTTTCATATTTATAACACGGACAAAATACTCCTTGGATGTTGATGGACTTTGCCAAGACAGAAGAATTTGTCCCCGAGTTAATTAAGCTAATGCTTCATAGTGGGTAGCAACAGTGCTTAACGTAAAATGAGCAACAACAGTCTGTTCTTCCAGACAGTCTGCTCTGTCTTCAATCCTACTTTTTCCTAATCCGCTAGCTTGGTTCAGATTCTCTGTACCACCCATGCACAGTTACCCTCAGCCTGAGGGCCACAGGGCTGACAAGCCTTGGGAGGTCAGT